GTAGGCCATGCCCCAACCAAACTGAGCTTCAGACTAGAGAAGATTTTCATTGCATGCACAACATTAGGATTATTTAAGTCGCACGGTTTATTTAAGTCTTTCCTTTATACAACTCTCCAGTCTTGCCCCTTCGACCCAAGTCAACACCCAATTTTCCAACCTTCACCTCCTCAAAACAAAAGAAGTCGACAACATTATCCTCTTCCTAACCACCAACGTTGTCATCGTCAATTGTCTCCCCTACTTCCTTATCCTCCTCCACCAGACCCCATTCTCAGTTGAGTTGATCTCTTCAAATACCACCAGTTCTGTTGATTCCAAATCGTGCTTGGATTCTTGAAATGTCGCTTCCGCAACCTCAGACACAGGCAAGACACAGATTGCCTGAGAGAATAAGCCCGTACCTTCATCTGAAGAAGAAAACTGCCACCTAGCATTCCCCACCCCTATTCCATTTTTATCGAACTCAACAATCACCCAAACCCACTTTTCCCCCTTTTCTCAGCCAAGCCACTCCTTCCCGATGCCCTGCTTCTTTTAAATTTTGGCCTAAAAGGACCTAGACATTTTCTATTATACCTTCTAACCTTCCTAAGCCGGTTGGTCTTCCCCTTATCCAAGCCGGTTGGTCCCACCTAATTCTCCCATTGGGAGTTGGGACTAGCTTTCACAATCAGCTTCTTAGAATCCACCAACATTTTTTTGATTGCCCTAAAAATTTCAGCACTCCAAACATGTAAGGGGATTCCATAGACATCAAGCCAATCTCATATTTTCTATGTTCTTTCCAAAGCAATGTTTAAGGGGATTTCATAGACACGAGGTGCTACCTCTCACACAAGAAGCAAATTACAAAAGTCAATTACAACTAAGCCTAATACAAATTATCCCTATTTAACCCTTGTTTAGCAAACACATCTGTCATAGCATTAGTTGTTCTCCTAAACCAAAGTATTCTCAAATTCATGTTTCTGGTTAGCCATTTAAATTTCTTCATCTCATCCCTAAAGCACCAGGTCATAAACTCTAGATCCTTCGACCATCCTATCACCAGTTTTGAGCCCCCTCAATCTCCACGTTTATCAAGTCCAACTCACTTGCAATCTGTACCCCTTTCATAGCAGCAAGTTGTTCTGCCCTAATGGAACACTGCACTCCCACAGGACCAGAGAATAATGCAATGATATTTCCTTCTTTGCATCTCAACACCCCTCCTATGCCTAATGGGCCCAGGTTGCCTTGATTGCTCCCATCAAAGTTTAGTTTAACAAAGTCTTCAATCAAGGATTTGCATAAAATCTTTTCTTTTTTGTTTTTTGAGGAGCTTCTAGCCACCACTTCCAATTTCTCCTAATATCATCAAAAGACAAATGCGAGAAAGAATCCAAGGTCCTAATCCAATGTATCACCCTCACCAATCATCATTATGCAGTCTCTTACCACTTCTTTACTTCTCTCCTTTCCTTAAAAGGTTCTATTGTTTCTTTCCTCCCACAGAGACCATATTATCACCGCTCTAGCACTTCTCCGTAATCCTTCCCCTCCTTTTAGGCCAAACAAAGGTAGAAGGGTCCAAAAGCTTGTCTACCTCCATTGGCAAGGTCCACCTACATCCAAACAAAGAGAATAGCCATTCCCATATATCTACAGCAAAAGGCCAGGATATTAGTAAGTGGTAACAATTCTCTTCATTGGATTTACATAGAGTGCACCAGTTTGAGGATAAGCACATGAAGGGTCTTCTTTTTTGTAACATGTACAAATTGTTGATCTTCCCATGGTACACTTCCCAACAAAAAGCTCCTATTTTGGTAGAAATAGGCCAATGCCCACTTTCTTAGCAAGGAAAGGTTGAGAAGGAGAAGACAAACAAAGAGACTTGAAGAAAGAAGCACAAGAAAATTAACCCTTTGGGCAAGGAACCCAGATATGTGTATCTAGTTTGGAAGGATCAAAGCAAACAAACTCAAGAAGTTGCAACAGCCCATTCAATTCGACAAATTTGGCATCCCTCAACCCTCTTCAGAAGCCAAAATTCCAATCATGACTCAAAGGAAGAAAAAGAGGAACAATAAATTGCGAGAAACACTTGAGAACAAATCCTTAAGAGCCGAAGAACCAACCCAAACATCTCCCCAAAATTTGAGAACCTCCCCAAAACACACATCATACCTAATGAAACTGAAAAACTGATGAAGAATACCATGAATAACTTTCAAGATGAAGCAAGGGTAACCCATCAAGAAAATCCTGCATCCCATCCAGAGTTCAGCCTGCCATGTATGCTAGCTGTCACCTCATGCCACAATCTGTCCCTCTCCAACGGCCACCTCCAAAGTCATTTACCTAACAGTGCTAAATTCTTCCTGTTTATATTACCCAAATCATTTTAAATCATGGTGTTAGCCTAATAAGTTTATCTCAATATAAATCACTCAAAAGTGGAAATATGGTAAGACAATCCATCCAAATTATTCATTTTATTCTATTGAAATCTAGATTTTCAAGGTTATAAAGTTCAAAAAACAGACCAGAGTATTGTTCAAGTATATTCTGTCTTAGTTTCAGACTTTCAGTCCATCAGACTATCCATGTTTTCATAAAAACCTATGTTTGGGAGTCTATTTAGTTTCAGTTATAGTTTATTATCAATAAAAGAAATAACCTTTCTTGGTACAGGCATAAAATAGAAACAATGGCTACTGTGATTAGACCAATCTTGGGATGCAAGATTATCGGTGCACATAATGTTCTTTCATTTTAATCAATAAAACCATTAAGCTACACATCAAAAATATAAAAAGAAACAGCCATTTAATTAAACATACAGTTACATCAATCAAAGAACTAGGAAGTCTATATATCTTATATGAAGAGCCGTAACTTTAGAGCATAGCTTTCCAAGTCTAGGTGACAAGGGGGGCACCTTGTCACCTAGGCGTTGCCTAGGCAATGGACTATTTTATGTAAAAAATATATATCCTAGGGTAGTTGCCTAGGTTCCATAACCATATTTCCTTAATAATTATCCATAACTTTCATAAGAAAAGTATAAAATTCATGTTTAAGTATAAGAAATCAACATATTGATGAGAAGAAAAAGAAGAAAGAAAATAAATTTCAAAAAAATATAGGGGTTAAACCCTTATTTTTGTTATAGGAAAAGAAAAAAAGATAAGGTTGAAGAATAAGAAGAAAATGTGTTGATTATAGACAAAATTTTAAGTTCTTCCTTACTTATTGATTCAGGTTTTGAAGTCTTTGAGGATTCAATAAAGCATTTAGCAATGTCTATGTTGATTAAACCCTAACAAATAAGAAAATAATAAAAAGAAATTAGTATATAAACACACAAAATGAATATTTCATTTTAATAATGTCCATTTTTATAATTATAATCTCAAAAAAATAAGAATATAATTAACAACACAATGTACAAAACTGCTTGGCAATTAGGCAAGATGAGCCTCCAAGGGCACCTTATCACCTAGGCATTGCCTTGACAACTATGATCCAGCCGCTTTAAGTCTACTTTTTTTTGCGAGAGAGAGAGAGAGAGAGAGAGAGAGAGAGAGAATACTGTGGAGACATGCTATAGAGCTGCTTTATGGTCTATTTGAGGGGAAAGAAATGGAAGGTTCTTGAATAAGGCAAGATCTAAAAAAGAGAGATTTTAAAACATTGTGATTAAAGTATGCCATATCAAGACTCAAAAGCTCTTTCACAATTTCTCCATGGATGTCATTTCTAGGAGAAGGTGATGGGTATTCTTCTATGCCAAAACCCTTAAGGACTACCCAGTGGTATCCACCTCAAACTGGTGCTAATCAGTTAAATTTTGATGGGAGCTCCATGGGAAACACTGGAATGGCAGGTATTGGAGGCGTTTTTAGAGACTGCACAGGGAAAGTATTGGCTATGTTTTTCCCTTGGGGTTGGGAGACTCTCTAAAGGCAGAACTGATGGCACTACTTCAAGGCTCAAGACTTGCCAAACAAGCAAACTTTCAGCAGCTGGAAGTAGAGGGGGATTCCAAGCTAATCATCTCTTGGACAAAGAATAAACAGCTCACGCCATGGATCTATAGGCATGAGTTTAGGGAAATAGAAAGCATAAAACAGGAGCTGAACATTACTTTCAACTGGGTAAGGAGAACTGCAAATGGGATGGCTGATACTCTTGCAAAACAAGGGGTTAACAGGCAACAATTATTTTGGGCGCATTTGTTCCTTGTGGGGATTGTTTGGACGTATTGTAATATCAAATTTTAGTTATTTTTAATAAAATTCTCAGTTTTTTTGCTGATCAAAAAAAAAAGTTAAATCTTGATGGATGCAATCTGGGTAATCTAGGACCTATAGGTATTGGAGAAGTTATTAGAAACAACTATGGCAACATCAAAGCTATGATCTCCAGGCCAGTAGATGTTGGAAACTCCACAGCGGCAGAGTTGTTATCCCCTATATGACATAAAATTGGGCATCTCTAGACATCACAACCATGATCATGGAGGGGGACTTGATAGTAGTAGTGGGAAGGATGAGAGAGAGGCAGTAAGGGAACTTGCCAATGTAGAAGCACCAGGGGCGAGATTTAATAATAATAATAATAATAAGGAAATTGAACATCTAATTTTCTTGGGTTCATAGATCAGCAAATGGCTTTGCTGATTTGGCAAAGAAGGGTGTCAATACAAACAAGTTATTTAAGGAGTAGTAGTAATGAATGAACTAAGAGGAGTTTGGGATATCACATAGCTCTATAATATAAAATGAGTTGGTAATGCTATCACCTTCTGGGCTGTTTGGCAGTGTTACATACTTATAGTAATTTCTACTCAATGAAATTTAAAGTCAACTATCAAAAGAGAAAATGAGTTATAGTAAATTAACCAATCAACATGAGATTCAAATGAAATTTGAAGTACGTATAGATGCAAATATACATAGATGCAATAAGATACTAAAAGAAAGAGAATGAAGAATAGGAAAGTAAAGTACCCAATCAACATGAGATTCAAATGTGGCAGAGCAGGTAGCAGCATTTTCAGTTAATGCCCACCTCTTCAAAGTCCCATCTCGGCTTCCAGTAAATAGATAATCACAGGCATCAGGTGCAGATGCCTTTAATACAGCTAAACAATTTATGCCTGCACAGTGCTGCAAATAGACATATTTGGAAGCATATCGGCATGATTGATGTGAAGATATTCATATCTTAGATTAAATCCAATCGATACAATAAAATCATGTTTGCAATATGATTGTCGATAACATTTTTTCTGCTACTTTTGTATCTTGGAAGAGACTGACCATACATGAATGATTTGTTCCTGACAATTTAAGCAGGGTTCCTTAGGGACATTAGCATCCTGAGATGTATGAAGAAAATGATAGAAGAGGGCTAACAGATAAAAGATCAAATATATTAAATACAGATACAGAGAACAGACTCATCGTCCTTTCCTTAAACCCTCCAAAAAAAAGAAAGTGAAAGTCCCTCTCTCCCACCCAACCACACACACACACACACAGATACACACCTTTGTGTCATCAGCATCACTTAGAACATACGTTAACCTCTTTTCCTTACGAGGACGGGTTGAATTGGACGTGTTCCCTGCACTGCCAACACGGTGCATCGCAAAAATCTCTGCATGGAATAAGATTGAGGTTGTCAGCATCATGATTGTATACCAAGTTCAATCAAACACTTGACACAGAAACAGACAAAGAAGTTTTGTGGTTCTATATTTGTTAAATTACACAATCATACTGGTGCAAATTTAGCTAATCCCAAATGAATTGTCTGACAAGCAATTTTTGGTAAACTTCAGTCCATCAAAATGGTATGATATGGGTTTCATTGATGCACTGGGCCCAATCCTCTTGTACATGACTGGATTGGACAATGTAATTATCACTGGGTAAATATGTTACTGCATATGAATGAAAAGTAAAATCTATGGTTAGTTTTTTTCTTGCGCCATTTTCTAAAGAATAATGACAAAACATAATTAAATTGAACATGAATGAGTGCAAACAAAAAAAAAATTCCAGCATAATACTATTAAAAATTAAAAGTAGTGCAAACAATACGAGGGAAAGGACAAACCACTTCTTATCATCCTTTTAACAGTTTACAGTGTTGGCAAAAAACCTTAAAACCAATTGGTCGACCTGTATCTCAACTTGGAAATTGTGCCCAACACTTGGCCCTTGGCACATAAGAAGTTGCCATAACATGTTTAATGACCATCCAAGAAAAGTTTCCATAATGTGCCAGATGATCCTCCTAACTTAAGTGGGGAGAAAAGGCTGGCATTAACCACTCTTAAGGGTCACTTCATAACTGCTGAATTGGATTAGTTCAATTACTTATCAATTTGTCTTTTTTATATCAGTAACAGGAAACTTTCATTAAATTATAAGAAGATTAAAATACAAATGTGGGGGGAGGTAAACCCTCTTACCACCCCCCCCCCAACAATACGATTACATGGTAGCCCAAAACAAATGACTTCTTCCCACCCCCTGTTTGGCCAAAGCATCTGCAAATGAATTAGCACATCTTTTAACCCACCAAACACACACATCCATTCCTTGGGTTAGCCACTTGAAATGCCTTTTTTCATAACCCGTCGTTTGCCTTCTCTATCCAACCAATTACCACTTGCGAATCACCTTCAATAGTCAACTTCTTTATATTCAACTCCTTAGCCCTTTTTACCCCTCCAGGAGGGCCTGAATCTCAGCTCTCAAAGAGTCTCCAACTCCAATTGGTCCAGAAAAAAGAGCTATAACTGAACCTGTCTCTGTTCTGAACACACCACCAACCCCTGATGGCCCTGGGTTTCCTTCACTGCTCCCATCAAAGTTGAGTTTGATAAAGCCTTCCATCGGAGGGGTCCATGTCAGAAGGACATTCAGTCTACTGGAAGCCGAGACTGCTATCTCCTGCCAATTATTCATGATGGTCTCTATTGAAACATCCTCAAAGAGATTTATTGTTTTACCCATTGTGCTACCCTCAATGAAATTACTTCTATAATTGTGTCCCTACTTCTTTCTTTTTCAGCAAATATCCTTTGGTTCTTTTCATCCCAAATCGTCCAACAAACTGCTGCCTTAGTATATCTCCACAATATTTTTCCCCTCTTTTTGATCCAGCAACCAACTGCATAGGTGAAGAGGCTACGAATGCTTGGTGGAGAAGTCCACCTGCAACCAAATAAAGAGAGAAACCACTCCCAAATAGAAGAAATAAAAGGGCAGGATATAAGTAAATGAGAACAAGACTCACCATCAGCTTTACAAAGGGTACACCAGTGCGGGGACAAGCACCAAAAAGGCTTCTTTTTTTGAAGATCGCAGGTATTAATTCTTTCCAAAGCTATTTCCCAACAGAGTGCTCCAACCATAGGTGGGACCGGTCTTCCCTACACTTCATTAGAAGGGAAGGGTGAGGCAAAAGCAACAGAAGAGTGGGCCAGGGCACTGAAAAAGGAGGCACAACTGAAAGAGCCAGAAGAACAGAGGGTCCAAATTCGGGAATCCTCCTTAATCGGATCTAAAAAAAACCTTTTGGATAACCTGAATCAAGGACCACAGAAAATCCATCTCAGAATCTCTAAGGCCTCGTCTAAAACCCAAATCCCAATTAATCTGAAGTCCTGGGCCAACAGAAGAAACTAAAGAAGAGGCTGTTAAGGTTTTGTACCTAGAAAGGGAGAAAAGGGAAGGAAATTGATCTTTAAGAGGTGTCTCCCCCACCCACACATGCTCCCAAAATCTCACCATATTTCCAAAACACAAATTGTACCTGACAAAGGGTAGAAAACAAGGAAGAATGGCAATGGATGGCTTTCCAAGGTGTTGTTGTTGAAGCTCTAACCGAAATTCCAGCATCCCAACTATCTGTCGTCAGCCCGTGAATGCTCTTTATCACTTTTGTCCACAGTTTGTCTTTGTCCACCGGAAATCTCCACAGCCACTTACCCAGTAAGGCTTTATTCCTCTTCTGAATATTCCCAATTCCTAGACCCCCTAACTTCTTACTTCTAATCACCACTTCCCATCCCACCCTATGATCCCTCCTCTCCTCACCAGGTTCCCATAAAAAGTCCCCCATTACCTTCTCTAGCCTTCTACAAATCCCCACAGGCATCCTAAAGGCTGAAAGGAAGTAAACTGGCAGATTTGCTAATGTTGATTTGATCAAAATAATTCTCCCACCCATCAATAGGTAATTCCCTTTCCAGCAGGCAAGCCTTATCAATTTGTCTTTCAGTGACTAAGTAAATAAGTAGAAAGCAAGCCCCTTAATTACGATTTATAATTGTCGAATGACATTTTGAGATGACTGCTTCACCCCTAAATATTTCATTGCATAACTATCTCATCCATTAGCAATTCAGCTCCATTAGCTAATGGAGCAAACTGGAGGTGAAACAAAACAACCTACAAACTCTAGGTTTGGCCAAGGAAGGTCAGAGGAGACTTTGTTAGGGGTAGTGACCACAGTGAAGTTTGGATAGAACCAATTATCTGGCATGGTACCAATCAATTAAAATCCATGTCYGCAATAAAGGGAAATGGGGGTACATCACTATGACTAAGAAGGAACCCAAGGAGGATGACCCTACCTATGAAAGATGGATGCAAGAAAACTATACAAATGTAGGCTAGTTAGTAAATTCAATGCAAACTGTACACCCTGAATTCAAGAAAACTATACTTTCAAATAATGAAAGTACAGTCAGCCTAGGAGGAGGCACGAGGTGTTACCTCCCCCGAGGACTGAACCATAAACACTAAACATACACAAGCCTGAAACACAATTACAAAGTAGCCCAAAACAGATCTCCCCTTGACACCCCTTGCTTGGCCAGAGAATCAGCCGTTGCATTTGCTGATCTGCTCACCCACTGAAACCTGACTATCATATTTCTTGTCAACCATTTAACTTTCTTTAACAGATCCCTGTAACCCCAACAAGTTATTTCTGGACTTGTCATCCAGCCCACTACTACCTTGGAATCCCCTTCTACTATCAAATTGCTCACTCCAAGTTGACTGGCCATCTGTATACCTTGTACCGCTGCTAGTATCTCTGCCCTTACAAAATCACCAACACCCACTGGTCCTGAAAATAAAGACATGTTGCTGTCTTTGTCTCTCAGAATCCCTCCTATTCCGGATGGCCTTGGGTTACCTTGGCAGCTACCATCAAAATTCAATTTTACCACTCCATCCAGTGGGGGTTTCCGTTCAATTTGTCAGCTGTTCTTTGTGGAGATTGTAGAAGCTACTGCTGCACAGTTTCTCGTTAAGTCATCAAAGGAGTAATATGCCAACAAGTGTGAAGATTTCAGCCACAAGACTGTCCTTGTCATTATGCATTCTTTGATTTCAGCAAGACTTCTTTCCTTTTCTTGAAATATTCTAGCATTTCTCTCCTCCCATAATGTCCACAAGGTAGCGGCTCTGATGCATATCTACATTAGCTTCCCTATTTTTGTCAATCTCCCAAAGGCAGCTGGAGTGAACAGTAACTTTACTTTGGAGGGCAAGTTACACCTGCACCCAAATAATGAAACAACCCAATTCCAAATATTGGCAGCAAAAGAGCATGATATCAGCAAATGGTTACAGTCCTCACCCTTCACTTTACACATAAAGCACCAATTTGGGGACAAACACATATAAGGTTTCTTCTTTTGCAAGTTTTCCACAGTATTAATCTTACCATACTAGGCTTCCCAATGGAACACTACTATTTTAGGGATTGGCCTTGACCAAACCTCTTTAACAGGGAAGACCTGAGAGGAGGGGTTGGAGCAAAGGGCTTTAAAGAAAGAAGCAAGAAGAGCTGAAGGAGCCAACCGGGGCTAGAGACCAAACCCTTTTATCTGGGTTAGGGGGTCCAAACACACCAAGTCTAGAAGCAAGAAGAGCTCTGAAGCACAAAGAAATTCTTCATCCCTTAACCCTCTTTGAAACCCAAAATCCCAGTTTAAAGCCAAAGGGTGAAACGGGGGGAAAGGAACCATGAAATGGGTTTCTTTTTAAAGAGGGAGATGGAATAGAGAGAAGGGAAACGGTCTTTTAGGGGTTGAGTGCTCACCCAAATATTTGGGTTGAGTGCTCACCCAAATATTTGGGTTGAGTGCTCACCCAAATATCTTCCCAAAAAAGAATGGAGTTTCCAGAACAAGCATTAACCTTACAAATCTGAAGAATTTGGGGAGAATGCCAGAAATAGCCTTCCAAGGTGTTGTGAGCAAAGCCTTTCGAGATACCCTCGYGTCCCAACCTGATTCAAAACAGCCGTGGATACTCTTCACTACTTCATGCCACAACCTCTCCCTCTCCAGGGGCCACCTCCAAAGCCACTTATCTAAAAGAACTTCATTCTTATTCACCACATTCCCTAAGCCTAGGCCTCCTTTTTTGCTTTGACTCACCACATCCCACCTAATCAAGTGATCTTTTTTCTCTTCCCTAGGTTCTCATAAAAAGTCCCTCATCAGTTTTTCCAACCTCTTCGTTAGGAACCTGCCTAACTCAGGGCTCTTCGAGGGGCCAACCTCCTGAATTCTTGGAAGAAGAGAGAGGAAAACAGAGAGAGAGAGAGAGTCTAATGCTGAAAGA